ATCCCTATTACCCTGGCATCCAGTACTTTTATTTTTTAAAATTTATTTTTATTAATTTATTTTTGAGATGGCATCTGGCTCTCTCGCCAAGGCTGGAGAGCAGTGGCACAATCTCAGCTCACTGCTACCTTTGCCTCCTGGGTTCAGGTGATTCTCCTGCCTCAGCCTCCTGAGTAGCTGAGACTACAGGTGTGCACCACCATGTCTGGCTAATTTTGTATTTTTAGTAGAGGCAGGTTTTCACCATGTTGGCCAGGCTGGTCTTGAACTTTTCATGTCAGTTGATCCACCTGCCTTGGATTTCCAAAGTCCTGGGATTACAGGCATGAGCCACTGTGCCTGGCCCCAGTTACTGTTAAAACCTTATTATTCGAGTACATGTTGCAAGTGTATCCAGCTTCTATGCTGGTGCATAAACTGTAATTTGAAGTTTTAGTTCAACAAGTGAAGCAGAATGACTTATTCCATTTTTGTAAAGTAAATGTTACCAACCAGAACTATGCTTGGAAGAAAAATAGGGAAAGGATGTCAGGAACTCCTTTCCACCTGTTCCAAATAAGCTTATGTGTCTCCTATTTTGTAAATACCTTTGGCAGGAGATACTACCATTATTCTGCAATAAAGACGAAGCTTGAGTTCACTATGTATCAGTATGTGTATGTTTATGATTAAAATGTTTCCTGAGGTTATGACAGTGAGAAAAGAGAGTTGGCTGAGTGCTAGAAATATCACAGGGTTGACGAGGATGGCAGTCCCACCTGGAAAGGCTTTACAAGAGCTGAGGTTCTGGAGGCGGTCTCTGCAGAATTCATAGCTCTCAAGATAACTGCATTAGTCATCAGTGCAATCAGCCCTATTCTTTCTTCTGAGGTAGGAAAAGGGGTGCTGATGAGGCAAGATTCTGAACATTCATGGGCTCATGGTTGTATACTACTGCTTTAAGACGTCCTTTTAACTGAATTTGGCCACATGCCTTTGGACACCAGAAATTCATATCTTAATACATGTTGGAGTCAATACATGTTTAAACTGATATACTGTATCAGTTATATCAATATCGATTCTCCCTTATTGATCCTAGAATAATTTAAAAGAAAATGAAAAGACTAGACATAATTATGAACCACACATGACAGTAGATACACAATTAAGTAATAAATGTTTTACAAACTTAAGTAATATACAGACCCCTCTTTAAAGGAAAACAATTTTCTCATGGGCCATTTAGCATTTACTTAAGGTATTTTAATTGTAATATTAAAATGTATAAATATAAACTTGGTATGCATGCTTTATGCTTATACAGCTTACAAACAAAAACATACTTACAAATTAAATATAAACAAGGCTACAAAGCCAAAGAAGCTTAAAGCTAACAACATTTACTTAATGTGACACTGGATGTTTTTGCTAATATTAAGGCCCTCCTTGCTATGTGTATACAGCATGACATAGATTCTTTGGAATTCAGTGATCCATCTCATCATTCTTGACTGCCCATTGGAAAAGATGCACAGTCTTTATCCATGTCTTGAAACTCCTGTAAGCTCCAAGCGTAAGTTGGTGTGCTTGGGTGTACCTAATTAGGTACTGTTGCCCCAAAATCTGTACTCAGAGTTATACTAAATAAGCACAATTACCCAGGGTTAGGATAAGATTTATGGCATTTTTTAAGTTTAAAAAATAAAAGTGAGATCATAGACACTGCCCATGGCCTCTTTGGACCCTTCTATTTCTCCGCATTTCTGGAAACTCGTTTTAACTGCCTTCTAGAATTCTGTATCAGTCAGCAAAAATATTTATACCAAAGTTTGAGACAGACAATTTTCCTTCAGTTAGAAGTAATTATTTCTACCTTGCTTGTATGGGGAGGGGTCTCTAATACGCACCCAATCATGATAGTCCTTGGGCTTTGTCTCCTGTCCCGCTTGCCCACCAAGGCCTTAAAAATCTAAATTCTCCTTTGCTTAGTTTGACAAATGGCCTCAGCTGAAATCCAGTTTTAGTCCGCAGCTTGTTTCCTGAAAGATGGTCATGCCATGCTTCTGGAAATGGAAATTCCAAATCTGACCTTTGTAATTACGTGCTGTACGCCCATCCCCAATGCCTGATGCAAGCATTTCAGTAATGCTATTCTTTCTCCTCCAAGGCCAGGTGGATTTCTAGTTACACAGTAACAGTAATATGGAAGAGTAGACCTACCTAGTGAAAATTCAAAAAGACAACCTGGCTTCTGCTTTCCAAATTCTCATCCTCTAATGAAGGAATCATAGCCAGCACAAAAGCATAATAGAAATAAAAATGATAATAATATTAGAAACCCAAACATAGAATGTCACATGGCTGGGCATAAGGACATAAAAGATCAGTTCTATGATTGTAACATGGATACTTTCTCAGCTTTTTTTTTTTTTTCAACTTTAAGTTCAGAGGCACATGTGCATTTGTTACATAAGTAAACTTGACATGGGGGTTTGTTGTACAGATTATTTGATCATCCAGATATTAAGCCTAGTACCCACTAGTTATTTTTCCTGATCCTCTTCCTCCTCCCACTCTTCACTAGGCCCTGGTTATGTTGTTCCCCTCTCTGTGTCCATGTGTTCCCATCATTTAGCTCCTACTTATAAGTGAGAACATGCAGTATTTGGTTTTCTGTTTCTGTGTTAGTTTGCTAAGGATAATGGCCTCTAGCTACATCCATGTCCCTGCAAATGACATGATCTCATTCATTTTTATAGCTGCATGCTGCATGGTGTCTCTCAGCCTTTTTTTTAAGGCAGATTTTCACTCTTTTTGCCCAGGTTGGAATGCAGTGGTATGACTTTGGCTCACTGCAACCTCAACTTCCCGGGTTTAAGTGATTCTCCTGCCTCGGCCTCCCGAGTAGCTGGAATTACAGGCACCCACCACCATGCTCGGCTAATTTTGTATTTTTAGTAGAGATGGGGTTTCACCATGTTGGCCAGGCTGATCTCAAACTCCTGACCTCAGTGATTTGCCTGCCTTGGCCTTCCAAAGGCTGGGATTACAGGTGTGAGCCACCATGCCCAGACTTCTTTTGGCTTTTTAAGACAGCATTAAATGAAATGGGGCTCTTCTGACAATTTGTGACTACCAGTTGGCTCTCATGTTTCCATAGACAGCTAAGACATCTTGTCCTCACTCTTTAAAAAAGGGAGACCTGGCTCTGGCTCCCCTGAGTAAGCCACCTCCCTGGTCTCCAGAAGTTACAAAGTAAGAGGGCTGAGCATGATGTAGCATAATGGACCAGGTGATCTGGAGAGAAGGAGGCAGGAGTATGGAAATGAAGGAGAAAGTTGTGGCAGGGGTGAATGGTAGGAGAAGGGGAAGCTGAAGACAAAAGGAGGGGGCTGGTTGTTGTAGAACACTCTCAGGTGTAGCTGGACATCATCACATAGAGCAGTGTTCCTTAAATGTGCCCAGAGAGGAAGCATAATCACAAAAGTAAGAACTTGCATTTTCAGAGAGCTTTCCCTGGAAATTCTGATTCAGCAAGTCTAGAACAAGGGCTATGGAATCAGAATGTTTCTGTTTAACAAGTGATACCATGCTAAATAAAATGCAGCTTGTCTAAAAAAACAGATAAATAAGGGAGTCCCTGAATTATGTCTGACACACAACCCAATCCAGAGTTCATGGAATATTGGAGTGTAGAAAAAAAAGTAAACAAAAATCCAAAATATCTTAATTGTGTCCGTTTTGAGAGCATTAAGCCTGCCCTCAGTAGTTGTCCAGGCTTTTAAGAGTTAAGGTGAAGACAGGACATGACCGATGTACTCTGCAACCAAAGCTTTAGAAGGGGAACTGGGGAAGGAGGCGTGTCGCCTTATGCCACCTTGTGGCAAAGCTGAGTAGTTAATGAAGACCGGCTGGAAATCACGTGACTTGGGTCCTTCAACTAATATTCATGAAGTCATTTGAAAAAAAAATCACTTAAAATCTGAGTCTGTTTTCTTCTTTTAAAAAAGATTACTGTTTGCTTATGTTTTTGATACAGGCAATGAGACTTTAAAAGTGAAATAAAATATTAAGTATCCTTTTTGTCATTGCTAATGCTGTTTTCTCATTTATGAGTGAGGGAAAAACTTATTTTTCCAGGGATATTCCTTTTTCTCTTGATTAAGATGGCGAATAGAAGGTAGCAGGTCAGAAATGAATAGGGAATGTTCTCAATGAGAGCAGTCGCTGCCATCCTCCTCTTCATCTATTCTATTTTCTCAATTCTCTAGGGTGAGACAGGCTACTGGGAAGACGTCAGATGGCTGACCGAGGCTTTCAGAAAAGACAGATCTCACCAGTAGCTGTAGAATATGATTACCTACTATGATGGTTAATTTTATGTGTCAACTTTGCTGGGCCACTGTGCCCAAATAGTTGGTCAAACATTATTTTGGATGATTCTGTGAAGGTGTTTTTTGGATGAAATTAATATTTAAATTGGTAGACTAAAGCAGATTGCCCTCCACAATGTAGGTAGGCCTCATCCAATCAGTTGAGGGCCTTAACAGAACAAAGACTGACCTCCCCTGAGTAAGAAGGAATTCTGCTAGCAGATTGCCTTTAGACTCAAATTGCAATCTTTCCTGGGGCTCCAGTTTGCAAATTTGCCTTGTAGATTTTCGTTTATCCAGCCACCACAATCTTGTGAGCTAATTCCTTACAATGTCTCTCTCTCTTTCTCAAATCTCTTTCTATACACACACACACACACACACACACACACACACAGTTGATTTTATTTTCTAGAGAAATGTGACACCTGTGATGCTGTTAGATAATTGGAACTTTCGAGAAAGACATATCTCCCAGTTGCTAGAGAATACAGTTACCTACGTGGTGAGAACTGAAAGTTACTAGAAAAGTCTGCTCTCTTTTTAGAATCTTCTCTAGCACTCTCAAGTGTGGGTTGAAGTTAGGGGTGACCTAACTCAGTTGATGTGGCTCCATTTCCCTGAGATTCTCTTGGTTCTGCCCACCCCTGTGTGGTCACTCCATTCTCAAGGATGGTAGCAGGAAGGCTCCAACAGTTTCAGTCTCACACAAAAAATCTGGAAGATAAAAAACGTCTTCAGTTCTAGTATTCAAAGAAATTCACCCTGATTAAACTGTCCATTGCTGACTAGGACTCTGGCTTGGGTAATGGAACTTAATATTTAAAGCAATCCTTGGAGATTGGAGTTTTCCCTAAGATTTGTGGAATCAAAGGGGCTATATGGATACCTGAAAAAAAAATCCTGGTTCTCTTAAGGTGAGGGAAGGGGAATGGATGTGGGGTAGACACCAATAATGTCCACCCGACACTTACCTAGTACTGGCAATTGACTGATCACAATATAACACACAAGTGATGATACTCAAGTTAAACTAAACTAGTGGTAACAAACTAGTAAAGAATAGTGGGGATTATGATAAACAAGAATAACATGATCTATTAATAAAAGAGAAGCCACGCCAAGTGTGGTGGCTTATTGCTCGGCACGGTGGCTCATGCCTGTAATCCCAGTATTTTGGGAGGCCAAGGTGGGCGGATCACCTGAGGTCAGGAGTTTGAGACTAGGCTGGCCCACATGGTGAAACCCCATTTCTACTAAAAATACAAAAATTAGTTGGATGTGGTGGCATGCTCCTGTAATCCCTACTTGGGAGGCTGAAACATGAGAACTGCTTGAACATGTGAGGTGGAGGTTGCAGTGAGTGGAGATCGTGCCACTGCACTGCAGCCTGGGTGACAGAGTAAGACTCTGTCTCGGAAAAAAGAAAAAAAGAGAAGCTGCTACTCTGCTCTAGGCAATGTGACCAGGCAATAATATAACCCTTCTGTTGAAAGATTGTCAACATTTTCCAGAGAAATTGATGACTTGGATTTTTATGTAAAATAGACATATTTTAAATATTGGCAACTAAGTTCGTTTTTGTTCTTGTTTTTAACCACACAGGGCAGCCAATACTGTCTAAAATAAACAAAGCATAACTTTTGGCTAAATGCAGTCTGTGAACCTCTACTTTACAAGGTCTGGGCCAGTAAAACCATTACTTGCCATTCAGTGGATAAGAGCAGAGGAACCAAAGATGAGAGAATGTCATTGTCTCAAACAATGCTTTTCGGCAGGTGTCGCCACACACATGGTCTCAGGCTCCCACTTTACTGAATGAAATGAGAAGTCCATTTGGAGCCAGTTAACTCATTCCGAGATAGTCAAGGTGTTCTACTGCCAGGCACCATGAACACTTGTTTTCCTGGTGTTGACCGTCTTACTTCATTCACAGGTAAGTCCTAGCAGGTACAGGGAAAAAAGTCTTCACACTACCAGACATCCAGTGTAGATCAGGTTCTTTTTTCCCAAGATGCCTAAATTCTATTTTTTAAAAAAGATTTAGCAATCATTCTTCCGTTTCTGGACCCTTAGATGATGTCATTAGCTAGTTTATCATAGTTCTGCGAGGCATATAGCTTTTTATTGATAGTTTAGATTCATTACCATCCTATCATTAAAACGCATTTAGTTTAACTGAATGGAAAATAGCAGTTTGTCATAAACTTAAAAAAAAAAATCAATGCTAATTAGCTTAAAATAGACTAGTACTGAGATCAGCGACTAATTCATTTGCGTTTATCTTTTCCCTGGACAATTTCTTGTTCCAAAAAAAAAGCACAAGAGCAGTAGTTTGTCAATCCTGTTAACGAATTAGAATCTAGCAGGTGGAAATGTAGAGCTTGTGGGGAAGGGATGAGGGGAACGCTTTTTAAAAAAAAGCTTTTGTCCAGGCCCTACCCTAGAGGGACCAAAACCCTAAGTGATTCTAATGTGTAGACAGGGCAGAGTACCTTTCCCTGAGCGGGGAAAAATATCCCCAAGACCTGAAATTCCTCAAATTCTCTCCAGAACTCTTCATTTCTGCACGAAGGTGCATCAACGAACAATTCTCTGATGTGGCTGAGGCTAGTAATTTCCCCGGAGATTGACGGGACCATCAGCCAATCGGCTGTCTGAACGAGTCACGATAACCCCAATGACAACAGAATGAGGAACTTTATCCCAGCAGAAAAACCATATCGCAGTAGCAAAGTTCAGCAAGTCAACAAAAGCCAAGGGCTCTCTCTCCGACATCAGCGAGGCCCGGGTACTCCTGGAGGTCGTAGCCAGGAGAGGGTGCTGCCCCTGCCCGGGGTTGCTAGAGAGGCGGCGCTTACTCAAGCGGCTCGCACCCTCTCCGCGCGTCACTTCCGCCCGGTGGTGTCTTACAGTCTCACCGGCTGGGTTGAAGCGACTTCCTTTTTTCTTTCCCTTTTTCCTCCCCACGGCCCCGCCTCCCGGAAGCTCTGCCCTGTCTCCGCCGCGGGTCAGGGGTGAGAGCTGGAACCGCTGCCCGGGCCTTGGTGAGTGAGTAACTGCTACGAGTTCTGTTCCTGGGCGGCGCCAGTTCAAGGAACCTAGGTTAGAGCACGCTAAGGGCGCAACAGGACTGTACTGGGCCTCAGGAACCTCCACCCTCTCCGGTTCTGGGGCCCTCAGTCTCCTGGGCCTGCAATTATCCACGCTGAGGCTGAGGTCTTTGGCCCTTCGCGAGTATGGATTGCAGCCTTGTTCTGCTTCTGTCTCTCTCCAGGCGAGGTCCTACACAGGTTGTTGCCAGCGATAGGCGTCTCCTGGAGCTGGAATTGGAAGCAAAGTAGCCTTGTCGGTCTCGGTGATGGCCGGGTTGCTTCCTGAAGTAGCCAAGGTGCTTTAGCATCCATTCCGCCTCCTTTGAGCACCCCGGGAGGTAGGCAGGGCAGATGAAAATACAGTCGTTAATATTGTACAGTTGAGGAAACTGAAGCTCTTGGTGAATTCAGTTTCAAGGCAGCACGGCTCTCTAAGAGGCAGAACTGGGATTCGCACCCAGGTCTAACTTCCGTAGAGTTGCGCAAAATATTGGAGAGAGCGTTTGGAAAAAAGGGAGACAATGCACACGTTAGAAGAAGAGCTGGAGTTTCTGAATGCTTGCTTTGTGTTCTGCATTTTGCCAAGTTCTTTCTATAATTATATCATCTTTTTAAAATAATAAGCATAGGAAGTACATACTGTGGTTATTTATTCCTGGGTTGGGCAACTGAGGCTCAGAGATGATAACTGACTGGCCTAGCGTTAATGACTTTAGTAGGCATTTCCCGGATCTCTTTCAGCTCTGTGATTCTTCCAACACTGTCGTTTTAACTTCTGGCATAATCAGAATGCACTTTTCTGATTTTGGCATTGTAAGAAGGGAGATTGCAGAACTTCATATTTTGTCTCTTCACTCTTTACCCATTGTGTCATTTCTTATGTAAATTTTACCTTGACTTTTACTCCACGATTTAATTTTTTTTTTTTTTTCTCCAAGAGGAATGTGGGGATGGATGTGGAATTAATGGATCCAGGTTAAAGGGCTGGCCAGAAAAAGTGCTAGTTTTTACATTATGGGTGTACTCTCTTTATTGTTGATTTCCTTACATATATTATGTCAGTGTTTGCCTTTTTTTTTTTTTTAATCAGGAAAACGGCTGTCATCTGCCAAAATGTCAGGAATTGGAAATAAAAGAGCAGCTGGAGAACCTGGCAGCTCCGTGCCTCCGGAGAAGAAGACAGCTGTTGAAGATTCGGGGACCACAGTGGAAACAATTAAGCTAGGAGGTGTCTCTTCAACGGTATGAGGAAACAATGCTATGAAAGTGTGCTTTGCTTCTGTCATTTGCAACTTGAAACTAAAAATTCATGGCAGCTGTCTGGAGTATGGGGAAGCTCTTTGAAAAGAAGAGGGAAATAAAACAGGCTGAAAATAGGTAAAATGATATGGTAGTCAGTTCTGGAGGAGAGGTAGATTTACAGTTCTTTGTTTTCGAGGTGTACTTACATTCTTTTGAGAATCTGGGAATGTGGTGCCTGATACAACATTAACTGTAGGTATTTAGCAGTGGGAAGATATACATTTATTTTTCATTCCCTGAAAGAGTCAGTACCAGATTCTAAGAGGCAGTTTAGTAATTATTGAGAGCTTGGTGAAAAGTGAGAGTCTGAGACCAGACTGTCTGGGGTTGACTCTGAGCTGTACCACTTCCTACCTGGCTGATCTGTGTTAGCCTTCCTTTGCCCATTTTCTTGTCTGTAAATGTAATTAGAGTCCCTGCTACATTAGATTTTTATGCAGATAAAATGAGAGACCCTGTTAAGGACTAACACTTTGCATTTAACATAGTAAATAGTCAATAAATGTGAGCCATTTGTAGCTAATATTGGGCTAGATAATATAATGATGCATAACATACATATTATCCTTGTTCTAATGGAGCTGACAAAATGAGTGTTATATACCAAAATCTCATAGTAATGTTATATATCTGTTAAACATCAGAAGTTTACAGGTTTTGATCTGGATCAAGATTTTACTTTTTGAAACTCAGCCATGGGGATGTGATGTTAAAATGTTTTGCATTTGTATGGCTTGCAAAACTACATCTATTACTTACTTGATTTTGAAGCTGAGGTTTATTTTAGAGAGGTTGATTTTTTTTTTTGAGTCAGAATAATAGGAACATTCATAGTAAGTTGTTGATGATGTGTTATTCCTGAGACTACCTGGGGTCCTGGTACTTAATGTTGCCGACAGGAGGTGGTTTTGTCTTAGCACTGCCTTACATCATGCATTCCAAAGGCATTTATTCACTCAATATATAAATATTTGTTGCGTATTTGTTATTTGCCAGACACTGTGCTTTACACTGAAGACAGCCCCTAGACTTTAGTTTGTAGGGTAGCACTGACAAGGGAATAGACTATTTAGAGTGAGATATGTGCTGTTCATAGGGTCAAGCATATACTTACGGAAAGCACATAGCACACACCCGAGTTTGGACTTTATCCAGAAGGCAATGAGAAGCCATTGGATGGCCTTAAGTAGGGGAGTAACATGCTCTGATTTATGTTTGGAGACTATAGAAGAACAAGGGTTATAAAACAAGGGTCCAGTTAACAGAGCCGTCTCTTCATTCCTTCTTATTCCCTTTCCTCTACAACTCCATCTCTCCAAACGTGGGGATCTGAGGCGTGTATCCATTGATCCCTGCTCCAGTTGGTTGAAGGTTGCCTTTGAAAGCAGTGCCTCCTGTGCATTGTTAGATTGCTGTTATGTGCCAGCTGTGATTGTGGGTCAGGAAAACTGAGTCTCCCAAGGGTAATTCAATTGGAAACACTGGCAGCGTAAATGGAGCTGTCCACCACGGCTGTGCTGAAATGTGGCAGGCTGACAGGACTTAGCACAGAGTGTTTGCTGTGGGAGGCCTTTGCAGTAATCTTAGTGAGAGATCATGGTGGCTTGGACCACTGTGGAGGTGGCATTGATAAGATCTGCTGATGGTTTGGATAACTCACATGAAAGACAGGAGGGAGGATCACCCCAGGATTTTGAAAGTATTGGAGTTTCTACTTAGCCAGAAAGG